CAATTGATGATTCTTGTACCATATATATATATATATATATATATACACTCTTGAAAAATAAGAGATGCTTCCATCGTTCATAAAAAAACCGGGCGAAAAACCGTAACTGTCCGATCCAAAAAAAGGGCAAAAAAAAAACAATCTGATTTCGTGAAAAAAAGGGCGACAAAAAAAACCAGCGAAAAAATCGGGCGAAAAACCGTAACTATCTCATCCAAAAAAAGGTGAAAAAAACAATCCGATTCCGTGAAAAAAAAAGGCGACAAAAAATACCAGTGAAAAAACAGGCGAGCGAGAAAAAAAACTGTAACTGTCCGATAAAAAAAAAGAGGCGAAAAAAATAATCCGATTCCGTGAAAAAAAAAAGGGTGAAATTTTTTTTTTGAAAAAAAGGAATCGGGCTAAATAAACCGGGCAAAAAAAATCGGGCGAAAAAAGGAACCCGATTCCATGTAAAAAAAGGTGAAAAAAAATAAAATAAATCGGTCTGATTCCAAAAAAAAGAGAAAACGGGCGAAAAAACCGGGCTTAAAAATTGGGTGAAAAACCGGGCAAAAAAAACAAATCCGATTATGTGGACAAGGTAAAAAAAAGGGCAAAAAAAATAAAAACAAATCTATCTGATTAAAAAAAGAATTATATATGACGCAGTAAAAAAAAATCAAATCCTATTATATGTGACACTATACTATATCTCTATCTTCTCTACCTCTATCTCTCCTACTTACAGGATTGAAAACGTTTACGTCGTCCGTAATAAGTAATAACAAAAAAGGCAAAAAAAACATTAAAACAAAAAAAGAAGTCCGATTCAATTTACTTCCGTCGTTCGTGAAAATCTTATCTTGTCTTAATCTCAATCTTTCCGAGGGGACCGAGTGGCGCCCTCTGTCCTCGCCCGCGCAATGAAACGCCGGCCAAAGCAAAAAAAAAAAACTCGAAATTGAGCAAAGAGATAAACTAGATTGAAGTTCCCAAAATTAAAAGAGGATAAACGATATTAAAACTCCCCTAACTCAAAACGAGGGAATAAAATAGATTGAAATTTCCCGACAAAATTCCCTAAATTCGAAGAACCCTAATTTAGGGTAAGATCCCTAAGAGTCAAAATCCAAATCAATTAAGCTAAGGGTTTGGGTTACTTAACAGACTTGAAGTCCCTAAGCTCACCGGAGCTTACTGGGAAACGGCACCGCCGCAACTTCACCTCCTCACAGTCACGTTGGGTTCCCCGTGCGCGTGCTGTCCTGGAGCACTCCTCCACTGTCCTTGGCGTCTCCCCTCCCGCCGACGAGGTCTAGGTCGCTCGGCGCTCGTCGCCGTTTACGCGCCCGCCTAGCTGGACCGTCGTCGCCCCCTTCGCCATCATTCCGCTCGCTCGTCGCGGGAGAGAAATGGGATCGGGAAAGAGGGATTTCGGAGCTAGGGTTTTGCCCCTCTCTCCCGATCGGCGCTTCATCCGACACGGGGAATATCGGAGACGTCCATTAGATCAGACGGCTCAAATATCGGCAACATCAGGCCGCCACTGCCGATTACGCTGCGCCCAATGGGCCGCAAAAGTGCATTGGACCGTCCCCGCATAAGTGGACCGCGCTCAGCTACTCGACTTGCGGGCCGTCGAATTGACTCGGTTTGCCAAAGATGGGCCAGCCTAAGTTTGGGTCGGCTTAGGAAGACCTAGGCCGAAAGCAAATTTGATCAAACAATGTGGCTCAGATTTTTTAAATTAAAATCCGTTGGATAAACTCCTAAGTAGGCTCCAAAAATAAATCTAAAACTAAATCCTAAATCCTATGCTAATTCATCAAATTAGACTCGGTTCTACCTATTTGTTAATGAGATAATCCCTTATATGCCACTGAAAATTGGTCTGATCCCTTATATGCCACTGAAAATTGGCTCTTCCCTTATATGCCATTGGTCCAAATTTGCGTACCCTCTCATGCCATTACCGTCAGTTGACCGTGTGTTGATCGTTAACTCTCAAGTAAAAAAGACATATTTGCCCTCTCTGAGTTGTTAGGCATGCCGTATACTTAGAAGGGTAAATACGTCTTTTTTCCTTGAGAATTAACGGTCAACACACGGTCAACTGACGGGAGTGGCATGAGAGGGTGTGCAAATTTGGATCAATGGCATATAAGGGAAGAGCCAATTTTCAATGGCATATAAGGGATCAGACCAATTTTCAGTGGCATATAAGGGATTTTCTCTTTGTTAATATATCAAATTAGACTTGATTTTTACCGATTTAAGGTTTTCAAGGTGTCACATTATCAAACGATGTTTTTCCCGTTGTAACGCACGGGCACTATTGCTATAGTGTGTGTGTGTATATTAATGTTTCACCTGTTGGTCAATTGAAACATTTGGCCGTTTGATTTTTTTAGAAATCAGGTGTTCGATCTGTAGTTTTCTCCTACCAACTTGGAGCAATGTTGATTTAAACTTCCGTTGACGTAGGTACACGAAGGCTTGGGAGATCTGTTTTGTTTCAGTGTAGGTCCTAAATATTGATAAGTTTTAGGCGTGCTAGTTAGTTTGATCTTGCAACTAACAGGATAAATATACAGATTATGGAGCCGATCATCAACCTAAGGAATTGATCATCAACTTAGGGAGCCGATCAGCCAATAGGCCGATATGATGTAGCAAGATCAGCTGATGTTGATAGGGTTTTGATCAATCGGCATAGATCCAATGTAGATTCAAATAATCAAATAAACGATGAGATTCATACTATCGTCAGTGAGAACTAAATTATGCATAAACATCAATAACCGCTCTTTATAAAAAACAACAATCTTGATAGATCGGACCGAACCGAGACCGTATAAGATTGAAGTTAATAAAGAGAGATTTAACTAGTGAGTATGCAAGTTTGAGTATAAGTCGATGTAACACTCAGAAATTGCCACAAGATAATTCATCAGCTAGAACTTCGATAAAAATTGCATAAAAACCTATCGACTTAGTAGAATTAAACTTATTTAGTAGCGATCTAATAGATCGGATCTAACCAAGAACAATATAAGATTGAAGATAATAAGAAAAAACTACTTAGCCAATAGATCTATATAAACGTGATGGATATACCAGATCGGACCAACAAATTAAAGTGATGTAGCCTTAGCCAAAGCCAATATATCAGATAGGCAACACTCACATCAACTTCATTAGAATATTAGACTTAACCGAGACTTCTAGCCAGGCCGATAACAAGAGAAGTTGACGTAACATAATTTCTCACCGGAGATCGAAACCATACAGCCCCGCTCGAAACTAAGGGAAACATTCTACTGTTTTTCTGAGTATTGAAAGCATAGATATAATAAGTCGTTCAGACTTCAGAGATAAGTATGGTTGGGGAACACCAACTCCAAAAACTTAAACAAGATCAAGCCTAATACATGCACCTAAGGAAATACATAGAAGCTTCATAAGACAATCATTGACTGATCATCACACAAGTTGTCCACCTTCGCTTCAACTTGCTCAAAAATGATTACAACTTAATACCCTCCGAAAACGTCCGGCCATTATGATTAATAAATTCTACGACAAGCACTTTTAAAAAGGACAGATAAGCATGTTTCAGATTTTTTTTAAAAAAATTTCAGTCCACCGTTTTCCTTCCTTAACGACCGTGTCAGCGAAGCAAGAATAACGAAGATCTCAACTCATACTTGACGCCTAACGCGGATCATGTGTGACGTGATGGAGCTACGTGAGACGCACGCGTGTGCGTGCGTGGATTCGCTTTCCGTATGCCATATCCAACGACAATCCGATGATTTTTATTTATTTATTTATTTATTTTTTGCCTTTCAGCCAATCAGAATCACACGGTCCAAGTACCCAACAATCAATGGAAATACTTCCTCTGTTCTCAAAATAATTAACTGTCCATTTAGCTTTGAATTTGTCCTATATTTTTAGTTGTAGGATCTACTAGATCTCTTTAGGCCATGTTTCTTTCAGGTTGGGATATAATCTAGATTATTGAGTCAAATTACTATAATCTAGATTGTTATAATCTGTAGTAGAATAAGTGGTTAGTTATTTCTTTCCTAGATTATTAGAGCCTAGATTATTGGGTTTGCGCTAGATTGTTATAATCTGTAGTAGAATAAGTGGTTAGTTGTTTCTTTTCTAGATTATTAGAGCCTAGATTATTGGGTTTGCAAGTTTAAAGAGGGAGTGGGGTGGCATGGTGGGTAATTTTTCACCTAATAATCTGGAAAAAGCTCACCTAAATGAGCTTATCAGATTATAATAAGCTGGGCTCCAGATTATAATAAGTTGCTTCAATAAGTTGTATGTTTCTTTCAGCTTACTTTCAATAATCTGGATTATAATAATCCCAAGCTGAAGAAACAAGGCCTTAATATCACATTATCTCTTTTTTTTCTCTAGTTTTCTTTCCCTCTTCGTTTTCTCTCTGTATTATTGGATTGCATGGTAGTGTTTTCAACTCCTTTTTGATATGTTGACTTTGTAAACAGCAGTCTTTTTGAAACGAAAGGAGAGTATGTAGCTAGAGCTACATTTTTGAAGAGTATGCTACACGCACTTAAAGAAAATCTTTACATTCAATCTCTGTTGGTGGTTACCGAAAATCAAGATTCAACCGTAGCATGCCACATTAGTTTTCTTTTATGGTTGTACGATTTATTGTACGTGCATTATTTTTCTATTTTAAATATTTTATATCAGCTAGAAAGGAAGCCTGCCTAAATACGCCGGTAATTTATTTGTTTTTTATGAAAAGTATATTAAACGAAGTCATATATCATCATATTCATGATAAGAATTATCGATTGAGTTATCTCTACTACTTAAAAATTCCAGATTGGTGATGGTGAAGCCAAAGCAGACATACGATCCAACGTAGAAACGTACGTCGACACGCTTGGAGAAAAAAAAATAAAAAAAGAAGTACATGCGATACGGAACGGAAAAAAGCGTAAAAAGGGTCGACGCCACGCGACCCGCGCCCCGTCCCGCGTCCCTCGACCGCGCCGCCTCCTAGCCGCCGTTGCCCCTTCCTCCGCGCGACCGCGCACCCTCCATCGCCGCCGCCCCACGCCCCCTCCTCGCCGCCCTCGACCGCCGACGCCCCGCGCGCCCTCCACCGCCGCCGCCTCCTCGCAGCCCCGCGCGCCCTCCACCGCCCTCGACCGCCGCCGCCTCCTCGCCGCCCTCGACCTGCGCCGACGCCCCTCGACGCCCTCGACCACCGCTGCCTCCTCGCCGCCCTCGACCGCCGATGAATCCTAGACCCGCGCCCTGCGTCCTGCGTCGCGCACCGCCCTCGACCGTCGACGCTGCGACCCGCGCCGCCTCCTCGCCGCGCCCCGCGCCGCCCTCAATTGCCGACGAACCCTAGACCCGCGTCCCGCGCCGCCCTCGACCGCCACCGTTGCGCCTCGCAGCCGATATCTCCCACCCGCGTCGCTGCTCGCCGGCTGCTTCGTCGATCTGCTCCGTGCCGCCCGAACAACCACGACTGCGCCACCGGGAGACCAACGGCCGCCGTTGGCTGCTTCGCCGATCTCCTCCGCGTCATCGGGAGACCGATGCCCGCTGCACTTGGCTCACTCTCCCCAATCCGCGCCACCTCCGCCGGTCACGATCGCCACGGAGGTCGATCCGTCGCCTCCGCCTCCGTCCTCAACGCCACAGTCTCCCTCTATAGGTACAGTTCCCCTCCTGCCTCACCCCAACCCCCCCCCCCTCTCTCTCTCTACCCAACCCTAATTACTCGGCCCGCAGTCCATTGCCGGGGTAGGCCTTGCCGCTCGGCCCCTCCCTTCTGCCACATGAAAATCTGCTCAATTTTTTTTTACCAGTGAAGCATGTATATCATAAAGGTGCTGAATATAGTAGAGAATCAGATGTCATAATTAGTAGAAAATCATACATTGGCCCAATATATATAGCAGAGGTCCCAAATTAACTTTTCAGTCAAACAATTGCAATAATCGAGTACCATCGCTCAATATCTGGAGTGGTTTGGCTGTGTACAACCGATCGGATGTAGAGGCTGGGTTTATCCCATTTTCTAAAAAAAAAAAAATCTGGAGTGGTGCAATCTCCCCCGAAGCACTATAATGCTTGCCTGATGAATTATGTGAAGAATCCTCTGAAGTAGTGGCACATCAACCTTCTTCGCTTAACTGGAACAATAGAACAGCAATGGGATTTTGTCAGTTTCTTCAGACATCGGCCAACATTGTTCACTTCTGTAAAATTGCTAATCATGGTTTATTTTAAGTTTATTACTTAGGATTAGCAGAAGTTAATTTATTGGACTGCTTCAAAGTGAGCCGCCTGGTGTGTACAAATTTGCATAAAACTGAATATGAAGGAGCGCAAGTCATGAACTGATTGATGCTCCAGGAAAACAATAACAGCAATTAACAGTTTCACTCTCCCTAAAAAAAATACAGCAACTAACAGTTTCAGAGGCCCTCCTTTATGTTCATGAATCAAATCAAATTGATTATTTATCCAATTTATATATCTGCATAATTTGTCTCACAATGATCATGACATTCAAGTTATTGCTGCTTATTTCTGTATATTTAAACTGTTGTCGCAGATAAAAACCAGACTTTTTGCTTTCATCATGCAAAGAATAATTTCTTTTATTCTTTACTGCTCCAATGATACTTCGGTTATTTTTCTACTTAGTCAAGTTCTTATAAAATTTGGGAATGCATCTCTGTTGAACCCGGCTGACCTGACCCTGCAACAACGCCTCACCAACCGTCGCTTATCTCCGCTTGGACAACATAGTCAACTGCCATCTGCTCATTTCACGGTATAACCCAGCATTTTTCCCATCCTTATTTATTTTCCTCCTCTCTTCTGATCTTGTGAGATTTTTTTCTTCATCTCCATTGTGCGTATGTCTCTGCAATATTCTTTGAGTACATCTAGATTCACGTAGACCTTTGATCCAGTATCCTGTGACATGTCCAATTATATATTTTGGGTACCATGTAGATCAGTTATTAATTCTACGACGCCAGAAAATTACTGGGCTTCACATTGAAAGGCTATAAATATTATTCTATTTCTTCCCTCTCATCTTAATTGTGTGTGACAAATACTTTGTGTCATGACTGGTCCTTAGCTAGATATAATTAATGCATGGAATGCTTGATTGGTTCATGAACTAGCCTTAAATTGCAGTCAAGATCCATCCATGTGTTACAAGCAGATGTTTCGTGAATACTTTTGCTAAGCTCTGTACTGTTCTTAGCTCGATGACTTTTGCTATGCTCTGAATACTTTCACTGTTTGCATATACACTATCGCTAGGAGAGGATCAACTGTATCTATTGTTTGCGGAACAGATATGGCATAGCGTGTAGATTTTGATGCTATCACATTTCGTCTTCAGTTTGATTAATTAACCATTCCCCTGGGACCATTGCTGACTGTCCTATAAATGACTATACTGACATATTCTCTGTTGCTGAAAAGAAAAAAAAAATCTTGCTGACATGGTCTTCTTTGCAACCTAGAATGGTCAGTTTAGGAACCTGGAATGTTGTCCTTGCACAACTAACGAAGTAATGATATGGTCTTGATTTGCAGGATAAGGAGACTAGGAGAGTGATAGGGAGGATCTGCTACTTCTTTGCCGGATCTGCCACTTCTTGCAATCAGCAAACATACGTAAGAAAGTGCCTTTAGCTAATTGATCTCTTCAAACTCCTATCTAAACATGAACAATAAGTCCTCGGCCTTGAGTGATTAGGGAATGTCATATATATAGCATTTGAATGAACTTAGCTTCAGTCTTAAGACTCTTGGTGCGATTACAAACTCTGAACTCAAGTGGAGAACACCTCTCTTTTTAGGTCAACATTCTGAATCTGCATTGGCAACATGCAGGCATCTTTGAAGGGTCTCAATGGGTCTATGAGGGCACCAATTACACACTAATAATTTAGCATTTAAGCTGTAGGAAGCCTGTCGATCTCCTGTCATGTATACAGAAATAGGAGCTTTGAAGTCTTGTGCATCTGAAGCCCAGAATACATGAAGCTCCTATGCTGAGTTTTTATCATCACTATGAATTTCTAAAGATGCCCTGTACACTTGAAAGTTCACTGCTGAATTTTCGAGCTTTTACTATTGTTCTAAAATTCTTGAGATGTACTATCAGGAGTTGAAAGTTGAGTGTCTCACTCCATTGCATCTTGTTTTTAAGATACTTAAATAGAGGAGCAATTAGAACAATGAGATGCCATTCAATCGTTTGAACTATTTTGTCACGTGAGGAAACCTGGGGAGTAGTTTAATATTCATTTTTGTTCACCATGTTCTCTCTATTTTTGATCTATCAAACAGATGCATAATAAGATGCTAGCCTCGTCATCAATGAAACGTATGCACTGCATATTTCTGTTGGTTGTTTCACAAATTCATAATTTTTGATCTATCATCTCATTTATTTTCAGAAATGGATAAGATTGTTGGGGCTCCACAACATCAAGTACAAAATCAGGTTAGCCATGTGCATGTTATTGACTCGAATGATGCACTCTTTGCATGCTAATTTCGCCCATGTCTTCCTTTCTTATGCCCTCTTGCAAATATATATATTTTTTTGAGAAATTTAACGATTTACTATTAACAAACGCCCGATTATTTTTTCTTTTTTAAAATGTGATCATTTTGCTCATAAAATGTGACCTATTTTAAGCAAGCCATGCTTTAGTTCCTTTTTAAAAAATTACATTCAAATAACAGTGCATTAGCACAAAAATGTGCCGTTGTCTGCTGGGCTCTTTTTCTCTCAAAGGTTTAGAAGTGACAAATTAAAAATCTTGGACCATTGAAGTCATGCTTGGAGGATGATCCCCTGGTCAACGACGTAGTAATATGCCCGTGCATCTTGTTCTTTAGATACAGATCTTAGCTAGGATTTGGGATGAAAGCAAAAAAAGATGCGTTCACATGTATAAGGGTCACAGAGGACCAATTAGAACAATCAGATTTATATCCCTGGGATTCATGTTCTGGGCAGAAATTCTGTATAAATCTGCAAATATTATTTTATACCATATTTTGAAATTAGATAGGATGTGGAACTTCCTGCTACTATTGGTGTTTCAATAATCTGTATTGGCAATACAGTTGTTCTCATGGAATATGTTTGCATCTATTCATATAATCTCTTGTCCAATAATTTTATGTACCTTTCTGGGATATATTGTGATGTAACTATAGCAGTTGTTCACTGATTAATACACCTTCTAGGTCTGCACTTTGAATCTTTATGTGGACTTCCACCAACTGAACTTGGCCACTAACTGACTAACTACGATTTTGAATGGTATTGATTGGATGTGTGATGGAATCGGTCACATTTTTGTCCTGTACAATATGAGTGTGATGTGTGAACTGTTAGATTTTTGTGATTTGATTACTGGCACAATGTGATGCAATTGGTTGAACTTCTTTGTCATGTGTGGAAACTCGGGGAGAATTTGTTTGTCTATATTTTATACACGCTTGTAAAATTTAATTGTGAATTGAGATTGTAAATATGGTGCTCTGGAAAAAAAAAACTACAGTTAGCCATGGATTTAAATTAATACTCTCCGTTTCATATTAGAAGTCGTTTTGATTTTCTGCAGTCAAACTTCTTAAAAGTTTAATTAAGTTTATAGAAAAGTCTATGTACTTAGTACCTATTCAACATTTATTTAATAAAAAAAGTGGGACCCAACTATCATACTCTTCTTCCCCTCTTTCTCTCTCTCTCTTCTCTCTCTCGCTCTTCCTCTCTATCTCTTGCAGCGCGCACGGCAAGGACGGGCGGTGGGCGTGGGCGGTCGGCGAGGACGGCGGTGCGGTTGTCGACGCTCAAAGCGGCATGCACAGCGCGGCGGCAGGAAGGCGTTCGGCGCCACGGTCCGGGAGGGAACAGCGGCTGCGAGGGACACGGAGGCAACGATTGCACGGGACGCAGAGGCGGCGGCGGCGAACTCCGCCTCCAGCCGCCGCCTTCGCCACCGGTCGGGATGGCGCTCGGGATGAGGGTGGTGGCTGATGGAGGAGGAGGCTGGAGGCGGAGCTCGGGATGAGGTGAGGCTACGGCGGTGTGGTCGGCTCCGCAAGCACGGCAGAGGAGGCGAGGCGACGGCGGAAGAGCGCGGCTACGGAGGAAGTGAGGCGAGGCGGCGGCAGCGACGGCGTCGACTTCTTCATCGACAACGGCCCGGTCGACCACTACGACGACCTCGCCAATCGCATCCATGACCCCGATGGATCTCCGATGCCGTTGCCCCTGTCCAGGAGCATCTCCGATGGCTTCCCCGTGCTGTAGAACGCGAAGTCGAGCACGGACTGGATCCACATCATCTCGGTGCAGTCGCTCGCCGTCACGTTGAGCTCCGGGAAGGTGTCGGCCATGATGGCGATGAGGCCGGCGCGTGTGTCGAGGTACAGGGGCACGACGACGTGGAGGAAGGCGTCACTGGGAAGGGACGGCGCCACGCGTTGCCACTTGATGAGGAGGTTGGTGGTGGACTGGTTTCTTGAGCGGTGGACGGTGAACACCGTGACGGTGGCTGGAATAGGGACAAGCCGGAGCTTACAGGACAAGACGATCCCAAAGTTTCCGCTGCCTCCGCCTCGGATGGCCCAGAAGAGGTCCGCCTTCATGGCGGCCCTGTCGAGGAGCCTCCCCTTGGCGTCCACCATGGTGGCGTCGAGGACGTGGTCGGAGGCGAGGCCGTGCTTCCGCAGCATCAGGTCGAAGCCGCCGCCGCTGAGGTACCCACCGATGCCGACCGTCGGGCCAACGCTTCCGGGGAACCCAAGGCGGGAGGTCTTGTTGGCGATGGCGTAGTACACCTCGCCGAGCATTGTGCCGGAGCCGACCCACGCTGTCTGGCCACGGACGTCGGACGTCGACCACCCGCCGCCGCCACCGCTCGACCTGCGTTGATGGCCCGAGAGAGAGGGGGAGAGAGAGAGAGAGACAAGTGATAGAGTATATATGAATTTATATAAATATTTCCCATTGCAACGCATGGGCACCTAACTAGTAATTATAAAAGAAGAAAATATTTATACCGTGAAATAGACCATATACTTTGATATACTAAATGTTAATGTCTATCATATTCAAACAAAAATCACTTTGCCACTGTTATATGTAAACTCACCTATAACCATCCTTCGTAAACATAATATGGATTTTGATTTTTTTTTTCATTCTTTTATTATACATCTCGTTCACATATACATGTTCATGGGTAATATACAAAGGAATAGTTTATATTGCCAAATTATTTATGCTAATTGTTAACACTGTTTACATGAGAATGGCATAATGCGGTTTCTTATGACATTTTCGATTGTACACATGTATGCATGTATGTTACCTAGCAAGTATTAGTTTCTTGTACATACATACTTTCTCATGTTTTTTTAACAAATATTTTTCTCTCACAGGGATAGGCTGTGCGAATGTGTATTCATAGGGTGGGTGTGCACACGTGTATATGAACGTCTACGTTTGCCTTTTACATCATTATAAAAATAATAATTTCAAAAAAATTGGCAGGATAGCGTGAAGTTGAGCCACGATGGCATGGCTTCTTCGACAGCCTCTCTAGGAGTGGTCGCTACATGAAGAAAACCGTAAGGCTCCAAAGAAAGGAACAGAAAACCTGGATCATATACACCTTTTTTTTTCTTTTGATATCTCTTATATATGTACGTATGTAGGGAAGGATTAGTTGTTTTTTAGTAGCGAGAGATTACATGAATAGATCTAATCTAATGGTTTAAAATAATAGATTCACTAGTTTAAGTGTAAATCGATCGATAGCTAGATGTTTTGCTTTTCCCTTATATTTTTTCTTAGATTTTCTCTTATTTATTACAACATTATGTGGCATCTTAGAAGTATTTGAGTGGAGTGTAGGACCGCTATTGTTTGATGGTTGCTCGCTTGGCTGTGTTCTTAAGTCCATGTTCTCAACCCCACTCTCTCGTTTACCGCGCGCACGTTTTTCAAACTGCTAAACGGTACGTATGTTACAAAAGTTTTCTATAGAAAAGTTGCTTTAAAAAATCATATCAATCTATTTTTAAAATTTTTAAGCTAATAATTAATTAATCATGTATTAATCCATTGCTCCGTTTTCTGTGTCGGAGGACCTAAGAACACAGCCTTAGTATCAATCCTTTATTTTTATTTTTGGTGCTTGATGAGACACATGCCTGTGCACGGATACCTCATAAGCAATATGACTTGACAATTGATGGATAGTACTTTGTATATATAACTTATATACATAGAGATTAGTGGGAATATACTATTGATATATTGGCTTATTCGTGATTGACAAGTATGTTTAGTATATAAGTAATCTATTTAAGGTTGAATTCTAAATTGCTTACGGGTTGGATATTTTAGTATTGATTAGATTCATATTTTAGTATTGTGAGGCTTACATTTAACGTTGAGTTCTAAATTGCTTATTTATCATGTAAGCCTTAAATGCCCCTAAAAAATTATTTATTTATTGATGTAAAGCCTGAAAATTTATTTTGATAGTCTCTTTACCCATTCCATTAGTTAATCATGATTTTTCCATTTTTTTTCAAAGTGACTATACCGCCCGTCTCATGCTTATGTGCTAGTTTAGTGACAAAAACAAAGCTGGACCACAAATTTGAAATATTTCAAAAATTTTCAAATCAAATTTGATGAAGTTTGTACACAACTTTCATCAAAATTTACCCAAATAAAAATTAATTTTGTTTTCTAGTTGAAACTCTTGTATGGATTTAACAAAAAGTAAATAAAATTGTTCAAATTGAAATTTTGTTTTTCAAACTGTGGATCAAATAATTTTGTACCATTTGATTTTATTACAATTAAAAATTTCCACATTAAGATTTATGAAGTATGTAAGAGATTAATGTAGTTATTTTAAAAGAAGTAGCTAATGATCAAGTAACGAAATGGATATAGATGAGAGTAGGGTTTGCAATTTCGATAACCACCAAAATTGCGTGAATTCTGGTGTTTTGACCAAAATGATTTAAAATTTTATCATATTATGATTGAATTTGGATAAATTTTAATCAAATTCTTAAATATTGGAAAAAGTCCGAAAATTGCAGGGGAGATTTGTGCTTGTCGGCGTTGTCCAAAACTACTGAAATTCCAAACACTGGATGAGAGATAAAAATGAACACTTGGAAACATAATGGAAATGAGGCAAAATTCAGGGGCCAGAAAATTCTCTTAAAATATGCACATGCAGACTTTGGGCCTGTCACCAATTCAATCTCTTCCCTCTCCTTAAATCCGTGGCCCAATCCGAACAGCCCAAGCAGCTCATCCAACGGAGAAACAGGCCGGCGCGCACACCGAATTGGACCGAAATCACGTTGCCCAAATCCGAATCGGCCTCGAATCCCCGATCCAGCTCCTACTCCAGACGATTGATTTTCTCTCTCTTTTTTTTTTCTAACTGCAAATTCAAACTTCGCCGCCGATCGCAACCTCCCCTTCTCTACCGCTCGCCGCCGGCGCCATCATGGCCATGGCGGGGAAAGCGACCGCCTTCGACGTGCTACGCGGCCTCAAGCGACGCGTCGACCGCTGCCGCCGCCAGTACGCGCCGTGGCTGCCGTGGAAGCTCGACGAGGCCTTGAGCGTGGGCGTCAACCCGACCCTCTCCCTGCTGCTGGACATGCTGCTGCTGCCGCCGCCGGCGCCGGTGCCGGGCGACGAGCTGGGCACCATCAAGGGGGCGCTCTACGAGCTGGAGGATCTGCTCGACGACCTCGACGAGCACGCCGGCGTCAGGCGCCGACCCAAATTTTGTTCATCATTTGGTACTGCGATATGATATTGTCGATTGGCCGCCCCACGTGGAAGGTTAGTTGGATTTAAGAATTTGCTAGAAAACCTTCGCACGTTTTTTTACCCCCTAAAACTTTTAGATTTGTGACTATTAGATCGTCTCAAGATTTTTTCATGAAGAGAAAAAAGTTGCTAGAAAAAAAAAATTTACAAGTGTCATGCTTAAGATCCCAGTGCTAAGTTTTAATAAGTTTATTGTAGTTGCAGTTACAGTAATTCTACTTCAATCATGTTATAGTTACATCTGAAAATTTTTGACCAAAAAACTTGTGACGTTTTTTAAGCCCCTTTCTCCCCTCCACTTCACATGACAAAAAAAATTGGCGTACTTTTTAGCATTTCACTATCAAATTACATATTGGGAACTCAAAGTATTTCAACTGATAGGAGCAATTTTTGCAGGAGACATTATTCTGGTTATCAAGTCCACTACTCTTGCATTCAACTGTAGCCCATAGATTGAATATAGTCAGTACAAAATTGAATTTTGTGGCTGGAAGTTTTTCCTTGTTTTTGAAGCGAAATAATGATGCTGAATTCAAATTACATTATCAACACGCTAATCCACAACACGAGAAATACAAGGAGATGGTAGAAGTTAATGGAGCCACAATCATTGGAAGGGATACTGAGAAACAATATTTAAAAGATTTGCTCTCGCAAAGTAATCCTGATGACCTATCAATCCTTCCTATTGTTGGCCTTCCAGGTTTGGGTAAAACAAGTCTTGCCAGGTTAGTTTTTGAGGATAAGGAAGAAGGTTGGGACTTTGATCTTAGGATATGGATTCATGTCGACGACAATTTTGACCTTGAGAAATTTGCAGTGTGCATTATCTCGGAAGCTAACAAATTGATGAAAGGAAAATTTTCTCACATTCTCAATAGATCAGATTGTCCAAGCTACTTAAAGTTTAAGGATTGTATTGAAGAGATTCTTTCTAGTAGTAGCTGTTTAATTGTTCTAGATGGTCTATTATATGCAAACGAACACTGGTTGCCTGATCTGAAGTATGTGCTGGGGGAGACTAAACATAAATGTACAAGATTTATAGTGACGACTTCTAGTGAAGAAGTTGCACAAGTGATGCACACTGTTCCATCCTACAAGTTAGGCGGTTTATCTGAAGATGATTGCTGGACTTTATTTTCTGAGAAAGCATTTGGAAGTAGGGATGCAACAATTCATTCATGGCAGACAAAGATTGGCAAGGCGATTGTAAAGCGGTGCATGGGCATGCCTATATTAGCTCAATCTCTTGTCTGATGGTGCAGAATCAAGACATGGAAACTTGGCTTGCTGCAGGGAATGATGAATTGTGGGAACTAGTGGAAAGACATTCCCTTGAAAGGGAAGTGTTCTCATCATTCAAGCAGATATATTACGACATGTCCTTGATGTTAAAATCATGTTTCTTATACCTGTCAGTCTTTCCGAGAGGATCCGACATAGATAAGGATGAACTCATTCGTCAATGGATTGCATTAGACTTGATTAACTCTAGCAGACATGGGACCTTACCTGCATTTCTACACGGGGAGATGTTCATTGAAGCACTTGTATCAAGATCATTTCTTCAAATTGTCAACACATCCTTAGTAAGTTGTTAAATATTTTTTCGGTTATAATATTTTCCTGTTTTTTCATGAACAATAAGCTTGGTTAGCTTGTTACTGTTGCAATATTGGTGGTTGCATGTTGTGCTTACACTAACAAGAAAACATATTTTTTGCAAGTAATGTATATTCTTTTATTTTTCACATCTTCTGAGTTTTTGGTCAGGCTTATTACATGTTTAAGTGTTCAGTTTGGATTGTTATTATGATAAATTGTTGGCCAACATCTAATATGAATTCGATACTGACAGATAGTTCTGATAAACTGACAGTCTTCTTTTTTAGGTTACCGAGAAGAAATGCAAGAACCCTCCTCCTACCATTCTTAAAGTGCACGGCTTGGTTTACGATTTTTTGAGATATATTGCAGCGGATGATATATTTACTTTGGATTATGCGAAATCACCAAATATTTCTGTAAGAAATCAACCTTTCCGGTATGCAGTATTAACTAATTACAGTTGGCAAGCTAAAATGCACGAAGATTTCATAGCCAAGGCCAAGGCGGCAAAAGCAGCAATTTTCAGAAATTGTGAGGCAACAATGCCTATTGCGGATATATTCCCAATACTAAGATACTCACGTCTCTTGGATCTCAGTGGATGCCTCTTTCAAGAATTACCTACTTCTATCGGTGAATTGAAGCATTTGAGATATCTCAACGTTTCGTTCTTCAGGATAACTGAACTTCCCAACGAAATGTGCTGCTTGCGAAGCCTTGAGTATTTGGATCTCTCAAAAACATGCATCGAAGTTCTGCCCTTGTTTGTTGGAGCTTTTGATAAGCTGAAATACTTCAATCTACATGGATGTGGCAAACTCAAGAACTTGCCCCAAAACATTGGTGATCTCAAGAGGCTAGAACACCTCAGCCTGTCATGCTGTCCTGAAATCCGTGAGTTACCTTCATCTATCTCCGGTCTTGATGAACTTAAGTTGCTCAACCTATCAAGTTGCACCAAGCTTGAGCTACTGCCTCATCAGTTCGGTAACTTATCCTGTTTAGAGAGTCTTGAGATGGCAGGATGCTGTAGTCTTCAGAGATTACCAGAATCGTTTGGTGGCCTCTCTAAGCTCTGTTCTTTAAGCTTAGCAAGTTGTTCTAGCCTTCAACGATTGCCAGATTATATTGGTGAGTTGTGTAGTTTAGAGTACTTGAACATTTCACATGCTCACCTTGAGCTACCGGATTCACTGACCAAGCTCCAGAGCCTCCACATAGTGAACTCATAGTTTGTGATCAACTGAACTAATGAGGGACAATCTCAGTTGAATGGGCAATAGCAAGAGGTGAATCTGACTGAAGAGATTGGGTGTTGTATATGTATGCACTAATGTGTTTTTCTTGTAACCTAGTGGAGCAATTTACTGCCAAGAAAACCATGAAATTCAGTATACAAACGGACAGTTTAACACTGTTGTATATATATTTTAATGAATGTGAAACACGGTGATGGATTTTGATCCCTCGAGGTGACATACCTTTGTTTCTTAGTACATACCACCTAAATAGTTATCTTTTTTTAAAAAAAATGATAAGATAGATTAATATAAGATATATCACTCCACAACACATGCAAGTTCAAATTTGACTTACACAAATTAAAAAAAAAGCACCCAATGCAACATAATCCTCCTCAGCTTAACTATCAAGTTGGTTAGGAATTTTTTTCTTGGATCAAAGTTTGGTGCTCATGTTGCTACGATTTTGCAATGTAAAAGTGAAACCGAGTGAAATCAATTGGTCAGGCTTACCAGTTCACTCTGAATCTGGGTTTGAAATTTCGGTTCGAAATTTCAGAAATTTCACCCCCACCGGCATGCTCAAATCTCGCCCAAAATTTTCGAATTTTTGCAATTTTTTTGTGAATTTGGTCAAATTTTATTCAAATTCATTCAAATTTTCAAATAATTTCGCTAACCCCGGCATAAAATCCAATTTCGAAATTTCAAACCCTGCTCTGAACTAGTCTGAACGAAGCTTACATCTAATGCGTCCCAAACTCACACTTCACACCTCGCGCCCCATCGATCAACCTCTCTCCCGCCAACGCCCAAGTCCCACCTATTAATCTCCTCTCCTCTTCTGCAACCCGCGAGCTCATCCCGCAACAATGGCGCCGCCTCGCCACGCCCGCCTCGTCGCCGCCACCATCGCCGTCCTCCTCTGTCACCTGCCGCGTTCAGCTGCGTCACCGTCGTGGTCCGACGCGGCCGTCTCGCCGCCGTCGCCGTCGCCGCAGCTGTGCCCGATGATGCAGCAGCGGAGCGTGCTGCCGCCGCGGGTGTCGGAGCTGCCGGCGAGCCCGTTCACGGCGAAGGCGGCGTTCGTCCGGTACTGGAACCGGAAGGTGCACAGCAACCGCCCGCACCCGGCCTTCTTCTTCGCCAAGCTCTCGCCGCTGTCCGCGCCCGACGCCGCCGCGTTCTCCACCCTGGCCGCCGCGGGGCAGCTGGGATCCAGGATCCGCGCGTTCTGCGCCGCGGCGTCGCTTCTCTGCCCCACGACGCCCGGGTCCTCGTGGTCCAAGTCCTCGTCCGACGGGGATGGCGCCGCCGCGGCTGCTGCCCCCGCCGGCGGCGGCGGTGGCGGTGGCGGTGGCGGTGACGGCGGCGCGGCGCCGTTCAAGAACTACGAGAACGGCAACTTCAGCAGCTACGGCAACAGCGGCGGCGGCGGCGCCGATCAGTTCGCCGTGTACTCGAGTGGGCAGAGCAACGGCGGCGGCGGTGGCGGCGGCGGCGTCGACTCGTTCCGCCGCTACGGCAAGGGGTCGCAGGGGCGGAACGACTCGTTCACGAGCTACGAGGCGGGGGGCAACGTCGGGACCTCCAGCTTCACCTCGTACAACGGCGACGCCACGGGCGGCGCCGGGGGCTTCTCCTCCTACGCCGGCGACGCCAACACCGTGGCCGTCTCCTTCGGCAACTACGACCACACCGGGAACGGCCGGTCCCGCGAGTTCTCGGAGTACACGCAGGACGCCAACACCGGCGAGGAGAGCTTCGCGGCGTACGGCAAGACGGCGAACGGCGCCGCCGAGTCGTTCAGGACGTACGGCAACCACTCCAACTCGATCGCCACCGGCTTCGACAACTACGGCGACAGGGCGAACGGCGCCGCCGACGCGTTCTCCTCCTACGGCGCCAGCGGCAACACGCCGGAGAACACGTTCAAGAGCTACGCCTCCGGCAGCAACGCCGGCGTCGACGACTTCAAGGGGTACAGGGACGACGCCAACGTCGGCAACGACAGCTTCACGTCGTACGCGAGCAACGCCAATGGCGCCGCCGCCGGCTTCGAGAGCTACGGCAAGTCGGTGAACCCCGGGAGCGTCACGTTCAAGGGCTACGGCCTCGGCTCCAACCCCAACCACCGCATCGGCTTCGCGCGCTACTCCGGCGACAACACAACATTCAAGGCGTACTCCAACGACGGCGTCGAGTTCAAGGAGTACCAGAACATGTCGAAGATGGAGGTGTCCAAGATAGAGGCGGCGGCACGCCGGCCGCCGCTGCGGTGGTCGCCGGAGCCGGGGAAGTTCTTCCGGGAGCGTGACCTCGTCGCCGGCAACCGGATGCCGATGCCGGACATCGCCGACCGGACGCCGCCACGGGCGTTCCTGCCGCGCGACATCGCCGCGAAGATCCCGTTCGACGCGGCCGCCGTGTCGGCGCTGTTCGGCGCGGCGCCGGGCACGGCGATGCGGCAGGTGGTGTCGTCCACGGTGGCCGAGTGCGCGCGCCCGCCGAGCCGCGGCGAGACGAAGCGGTGCGCGACGTCGGCCGAGGACGTCGTCGACTTCGCCGTGGAGATGCTCGGCGACAACGTCGTGGCGCGCGCCACGGAGTCGACGGCGGGCGGCGGCGGTGACGTCAGGCTGGGCAGGGTCGCCGGCGTCCCCGCCGGCGGGAACGTGACGCGGTCGGTGTCGTGCCACCAGAGCTTGTTCCCGTACCTGGTGTACTACTGCCACTCGGTGCCGACCGTCCGCGTGTACGAGGCCGACATCCTGGCCGTCGATTCCAACCAGAAGATCAACCATGGCGTGGCCATCTGCCATCTCGACACGTCCGATTGGAGCCCGAATCACGGAGCCTTCATCGCGCTTGGTGGAAAACCCGGTGAGATGGAGGTGTGCCATTGGATCTTTCAAGGGGATATGACTTGGACAGTAGCTAATTGATATACACACTGGATTGACTTGTTTGTGTTTATTCTGTTCAAAGAAAAGGAAGATTTTGACATTATTTTTTCTTTTTTGTTTTGAGAGTGCACACATCAAACTATGAATTGTATGGTCTCTTTTTACAGGGAAAAAGGTTGATCCTACCAAATTCATATGTTTCATCATGCAAGATGGGGAATTTGTTTGAGTCATTGTGTTTGCCTATGATGACATGAAAAGGATGTATAGACTTTGGGTGTTCTAAGTTTGTCCAACTCCGTTTGAAGGTGTGAAGCGTGTGTATAAGCATTGTCCTTAATATATATTTGATGTGATAACAAATACTCCCTTTGTCCCAAAATATAAATATTTTTTGGTTATTTAGAAAATACTTAGGTAAAGGAAAAATATTCACTTACAATAATCTCATTGGTTGAATTTTAAATTTTGATTTGCTTAGATTACCCTCCGAAGAACATGATTTGCTGAGAAAGTGTACATTTTTTGTGTATTGTAATTAGTGTATCAGGAATGCTCATATTGTGGTAACATATCTGTCTCATAATTTAGATTTATTGCTAAAATTTGCTATTTTTTTAACAGATGGAGAACAAACTATAAATCCTAGAAATGCCTCACAAGTGGGTACAAGACACTGGGAAGATTTTTAATGTAATCCGAAATTCACAGCAATAGGTCCATAAAAAAAGGCATTTTAAAGAAAAACAGTCTGGTTCAAATTCAAATTGCGCACTCTCTTAATTATTCAATCGGGAGTGCATACTCACTAAAACTTTTTTTTAAAGATAATGGAATAACATTCCGGCCTTTGCTCAAAGAGCTATAGCCAATTATTACAATCTAATACTCTAGAAGAGTGTAGTTCAACAAAACATCAAAGACATCGAAAACAACCACCAATGTTTAAAGAGATAACAAACTAAGATAAGGAGAAACATTTATTAAAGTCTATTTGTGAATCTCCATCCATAATTGGTAAAGAGTTGCATAACCATCGTCTCAAGCTTCTAGCATGCAACTTTTATGAACTCACCATCTTCATTAGACCTTTGTAGTTGAGCCCAGAGCTGGAGCCAGTACGTTGCCCTGAAAATTACATGCATATATGTAATAGATGGTGATTTGTCAAAAACCACATTATTCCTGCACAACCACAGAGCCCAACATATAGCAGAAGCTCCTACGAGAATAAGCTTGCACTCACTCAAACTTCCCGAAGATTTTTTTGGGGTTAAGAATGTTATATATGCATACTGTTAATCAAATGTAAACTGGTAAAGTAGATGGATTGGTAAAAGTGGTGGTTTGAAAGCACCTTGTGCATGCTCAAGCAAATATATGTAGCACCAGGAGTGCAGCTTGTTCGCTTATCCTCACCTAAAACCTAGCGATGGAAGTGTGAACATTCATGTTGGGGTTAAGTTGACGGTCAATTGGCAATCTTCTATATTTCTTAATTATAGTTATCAAAAACCATTTCAGAAAACAGTAGTTTAGGTGCAGATTTGAGTGGTAAGATTAACTATGTATGGACCATTAATATGTAAATGAAGGTACAGAAAATGTGATACAGATGCGTGAACCGTTAAAGGCTGCTAACCAAACCAAATATAATTTACCACTACAATGTTTCATTATATTTAATTGACAATGTTGACCGGATGTTGCTTTAGTTTGAACTCTAATATCTGTTGAATTGTTTAATTATGATAAACGAGGTTTGAACATTTATATTTACCGCGAAACATACTATATATAGTAATATAATAATTTTAAATTTTTATAAGCTTATTTATAAAATAGGATTTGGTTAAACCAAAACAAGGAAAAATAAAAATGGCCAAGTATTAACGGAGGCAGATTAGCTGAAATTAGTGCACTACGACTGGGCTTATTAGGCCTTCATACTACTCCAGAATATGAATAAGTTCACTTTAGGTCCCTCAAATTGTCGCCGAGTCCGAAATTCTTCCCTTAAGCACAAAACCGGGTATAAAGCATCCCCCAACTTACAAAACCGGTATAAACAAGGTCCCTTGACAGTATTATCCCCTGGTTTTGGTTAACGTGGCGTCTATGTGGCTCCTTGGACTAGATATTTGTCTCACATGCCATTGACATGTCGATTACATGGTAATTCGATGCCAGAAAAAGAATAAAACCATGGGATTCACATGTTAGTTACACACACAAAATAATAAAACATGGTGAGCCCAATGTGGCCCCACATATCATCATCACTCCTCCCTCCTCTCTATCCCCTCTCTCTCCTCCCTCTCTTCTTCCTTATCCTCCCTCCGACCTTCTTCCAGCAGCATGCCGCTGTTGGGAACCGCCTCCACCGCCTTGGCCCCGAGCGCACCCCCAACATGGATGAAGAGGCGGGTGACATGGTGCTCCTCGAGCTCCGTGAGGCGTGTGGTCGGCGCTGGTGGATTAGAGGGGTGGCGGAGAGAAGAGGGACGATAGTGGAGAGGGCGCCATCCTAGATCTACGCGGACAGGAAAGACGGGAGGCGGACCGGTGGGTGGGCAGCAAGGAGAACAATAGAGAAGGCAAGTGAGACGGGTGGTGACCTCGGCGAGGTGGGGAGACCATGGCTGTCGTGAGGGCGGTGCTGCACTTCGACGTCATCGACGGTGTTGGGGTTGGCCGAGAAGGGCCACGGAGGATACGAAGCGTCTTTGTCTTGAGCTCCCCCGCTTGGTGGCCCAAGCGGCAAACATCTTCCAGGAGCTCGTCCGCCGCTGTTCGCTCCTCATGCCATCGCTCCACTCCGCTTCGCCTGTTGCCCCTGTACGCTGCCCAACGCCGCTCCACACTTCTTTTTGTAGTGTAGAGAGAGACGATATAGAGAAGAGGGCAGGAGTAGGAGGTGGGGAGGGTGAGGAGCTCACCCGTCGCCCGCCGCCCCTCTGCTCCGCCCATCCCTCCTCTGTGTCGCCTACCACTACTCCGCCCTTCTCCTTGCAATGCACGGGAAAGATGAGAGGAAGGAGTGAGGATGACATGTGGGGCCACACGAGCCTCACCATTTTTTTAATTATTTGGTGTGTAGCTAACATGTGAGTCCATGGTTTTTTTTTCCGAGATTGAATTGCCACGTAAGCGTCACATCAATGCCACGTGGGACAAAGACCCCATCAAAGGAAGAAACACGTAGGCGCAACATTAGCGAAAACCAGGCACAATACTGCCGAGGAATCTTGTTTACATGGTTTTGTAAGTTGGGGGATGTGTTGTATCCGGTTTTGCTGTGCAGGGATGAAATCGGTCTGGGCGACAAATTGAGGGATCTAAAGTGAACATATTCCTCCAGAATACTACTAGTTCTGGGCGTCTTGGGATGCTGTGTGGGCTGGAAGAGATGGTCCAGGAATACTTGGTCCATTCAGTATGGGCTTTAAGGCGACTCTGACAAGCATGAGAGTCCATGATAGATCGTGAGCCGGGATGGATACACGTTGCAACTGACTTGGAGGCCCATCGTAGTTGGGCAGGAGAGGGGTTGAGCCGGGATGGATACACGTTAGCATTGGTTGGGCAGGAGTCCTGGCCAGCGCGCTTTGAGCTTTTCCGGGACAAGATTTTTGTGTTTTTCAGTTACACATGAGTCGGGTAGAAGGAATTGCCCCTTGTAATAGGAACATTTTCATTTATACCTACTCTTTAAATCCCAAAATATAATATGCAAAAAGTGACCGACACAACTTTAAAATGACACCATTACCAAAGTATGAAAGTATTTGTCAAAATAAGTGCTTCCAAACATATGTAAATAGTGATAAAAAATATTAACAAATGTTAAGCGGTAGGTTATAATGGATATATTAATCCTACCAAATTTATGTGTAAATACAGCTTATATGTAGAGAGATAAAAAAAGAGAGATGTTGTTAAGTCAAGCAGTGAGGGGAACCGCTTTCAAGGGGTATAAATTAAATGATACAAAAATTAATTAGGGGGTTAAGTGCTCCACCAAAATTATTTAGGAGGGTGTACATAGACGGTAATATGTGCTAAAGAATCACATATTATGTATGGTCAAAATGGAACCACTTATGTTTTTAATCCCTACTTCAAATACTTGATTTCTCTGATAGCTGGGCTGGCTGACTCACCTTGCCGAGTCGATGTGTTTGCCCCTATATGCAATCAATTTTTTTCGATGTTTCATAATACAAAACGTGTATGTATACATGCAATTGACTAGCACATCCCTCTTCCTTAAATTTATTTTTTAAAATCCTTCATCTTAATATCTCTAATTCCATTAGATGTATATATGAATTATTATTATTGAGATGATCCAAACAAGAAAGTGATAATAATTCATTTCTGGTCTTTGTGTTTATGGTGGTTATACCTTACAACACTGTACTTGCCCTGGCAGAGCCAAAATTCCCCCATCGCTCCACCCATGAAATGTAATGGGGCAACAATTTTTTCTCATCCCCTCCTCCACACGAAGAATTTGTCCACGTGAAGCCTCCGTCACCGCATATATATAGGAAACATACTTATCAATGGCAATATGTTTGCATATGTAATTTCGTTAATTTTAAGATATACGAACCTATTTTTTTCAAAAGTGCTTATAGGGGTAGAGTGTGCAAGCGTGTATTTATAGGGGTGAGTTTGCATGCATGTTGTACTGTTTCGGAAAAACAACACCACCACTGTTGCAACATGAAGCGTTATTTTCGAAATAGTAATAATAAAAAATAATATCAAGAAGAGGAGGCTTCAACTATATACGTGGCGATGTTACCTAAGTTCTTCTCTCTCAAGAGTCAAGATTGATCCATATCAAAATAACTGGCCACATCTCCAACTTTTCTAAACGGATCTCTTCATTTTCTTATACTCGTACAACTGCTAGCTAGCTAGGATCGATCATAGTGCGTATCACGTGCACAATTTTCTTTAGAAACAACACCAAAAATGAAGGACAAGAGCGTCGATTGACTTGGACCCTTGCTTGGTGAATTGGTGAGATACCTCCTACTTTTCTATATATCCGCGTGGTATATTAACAATATATAAAAGTCAGTATCACTGATTCACTGTGTTTATACACGGAACTGACCCGCAAGTACGTACGAACAACGTGAGATAATTAAAAGACCTCTCCAATAATTGTGTACCTAGAAAAACAAATCCGCGGTTCACAAGTGCCACCATCGCTGTGCTTGGGGGTGGACGTATGAAAGACTGCTTCTAGAAAGTTTTGCGCCAAAGGCAGTCGGATGACCGACTCTGGAAATATACATATTAATTTTCACATATATGATCATCTATTAAAAGTTCTATTTCGGGAAACGGTCGGTTAATTAGGTTGATCGTTTGTGGAAATCATGGTATTAAGGTGATTGGCATAAGCGAACGACTCTAGCTAGAAAAGTCTTTTCTTAGAGCAGGAACAATAGCAAACTAAAAGCCAGTTATACATACATATGGAGAAGATAAAAGAAAAAAAAAGATGAGCAGCGGGTAACAGGTGTGACTATATATTAATAGTGTAGGACTCCCTCCGTTTCACAATGTAAGTCATTCTAGCATTTCCTACATTCATATCTAGACATATATATCTATCTAGATTTATTAACATCCATATGAATATGGGAAATGCTAGAATAACTTACATTGTGAAACGGAGGAAGCACATATTTATAGGTAGCTATTGTATAAATTGGCTATAAATAATTTGGAGTTAGCAGTTGGCTATACTATTAAACTTGCTCTTAATATAGCCTCCTGTTCTTATATGTTTCCTTCGTAACTCTTTGGTAATCTACTAAAAGCTTAAAATGCCGAGCATCAAAAGTTGTTCACATCGTTCTATACGTACTACCACTCCGCCTCGCCACCTCCTATTATATCCTCCTATATATATATATATATATCGTAACGTGGATTTTCTCATCACTCTATCTCTTCACTCCTTTGTCAGCCTCACCACGCTAACCCTAATATATCACCACAAGTGAGGAAGAGAAGTGGCCAAAGCTGTCATCAGATTAGGGATAACCCATGGGACAACCTGGATCTAAACACCCCCTAGTTTCTTGGGTTTCTTGTGTGTTTTTTTGGTATGGGTATTTCGAATATTGTGGCGCTGTGTTTTTGCTCAAATTCTATACCGATACTTAAAAAAAGAAGACCCTAATAGTCTAATTAATGGTGGTGGCCGAATGTGCCTTTTACATATCACCCCCTAACTTCCTAATACTCCCTCCGTTTCACAATGTAAGTCATTCTAACATTTCCTAAATTCATATTGATGTTAATGAATCTAGACATATATATCTATATAGATTCATTAACATCAATATGTATGTGGGAAATGCTAGAAGTCATTGTGAAACGGAGGAAGTATTATATAACAACTAAATCATCTAAATAGTTAATCACATATAAGATTAACTTAAGGTGAGTATTCCATATTTATAAAAGGTGGAAAACATATTCCATGGAAAATATATTTTTATTTTATTTGAGGCAATATTATGATATTTTGTCTTTTTATCCATAGCGAAGCACGAGCATTTAGCTAGTATGTGAATAAATCTGGATCGTGCAAATAATTGAGTGCGTTGTGTTTTTTTATTTTGTATTCGGTATGCGAAATTAATTGTTTATTGTTCATTGTGAGTACAAATATATAGTTTTGCACAAGTAGTCAAGCCACCACATGCGAAAATATTCTTTTTATAGACGGTTTTCTCAATGTATCCCCTATGGAAATTCTGCTTCAGACGCGGCTATCAGCCCATCTATGTAAAGGCAAAGTTTTCTAAGCATTTTATTAGTGATTGTTGGCACCATTAGTGATGAACAATCAAGAGAAATGACGAGGGCATGCATACCATATCTCTTATACCACTAATGAAGAGTACACAAAGAGAATCATGTTACATCTATAGATGCAAGCACCAACCCCCATATCCCCCAAATACTCCATCCAATACACACAGATATGCCAACTCATCAAATTAAGAGTTGAACCTGTCTAATCAAATTATGATATGATCAAGGTTTCTCTCTTACTTCCTATTAGCATTGATTGCGCACAACTCATTGATCATCTCCCTCACTACAACCCATGATGATCCTCCTTCATCCACAGCCTTCTTAGCTAAAGTCGACAGCTTTGCAACATTCTTAGCAGCTTCTACCCCCACCTTTCCTAACATCAGCTCCGTCACCACCCTTGAGATCTCCTCATGTGTAACCAAACCTCGCCTGAGACTATTGCTCGTCCAAACCATAACCGCTATCTTCATATCATCAATTAAGAATCTCGCATTGAGCGGTTGGTCAAAATTCATTGGCCAAACTGCTAGTGGCACACCAGCCGTGACACTCTCAAGCACAGAGTTCCACCCGCAGTGACTGAGGAAACCTCGCACACTCTTGTGTTGCAAAATTTGGGATTGATCAACCCAATCCCTTACCACTATCCCCTTTCCCTTGACGCGTTCTTCGAACCCTGGGCCGAGGTCGATGTCTTTAGGGCTTACGACCCATATGAAGTCAACCTCGGCCCTCTCCAACCCTTTGGCGACTTCCTTGAGCTGTACTTCTGGGATCACCGCTAGAGTCCCGAGCGCAATGTACAGTACCGACTGGCCGGCAGCCGCCTTGTTGTCCAGCCACGCCATCCATGAGGGCCGGGTAGCGGCGGGCGCAGATGCGGGCTGCGCAAGGCAGAGTGGACCGATGGGCCAGGCCCTAGGCCCAACATGTTCGTTCCAGAACTTGATGTAGGGAGCCTCTAGGCCATGGAACGTGTTGATGATCAAGCTATGGCTTTCCTCGATGGACTTCCCCATCTTCGCGTCCAGCTCCATCATCGCCACGAACGCCGACGAGTCCCTGAACGTCAGCATAAGCTCCTCCACCGACAGCTTGACTTGCGGGAACTCCGGCATGGAGAACGTCGTCGCCGGCGGCCCGCCACCGCCGCCGTTCTCGTCGTCGTCGTCGACGGCGTCCCTGGGCCGCAGGACGGCGAACGGGTCTTGGCGGACAATCAGCTCGCGCATGACGTGCGCGAACGTCGAGGTGCCAAGGAAGGACACCTTGGGGACGCCGAGCACGGCCGCGGAGTCGTTGGTCCAGTGCAGGAACGCGTCGGCGACGAGGAAGCTCGCCGGGGGCCGCATGGCGGCGACGGACGCCTCGAACCGCGGCCGCAGCAGCGACGTGGACTCCGCGAAGGCGACGAACGACGCCATGGACGTGAGCCCCTCGGCGCTCTCGGCGCCGCCCGGTGATGCTGCGTCGGCCGCGGGGAACGCGAGCTCGACGACGGCTAAGTCGTCATCGTCGTCGTCCTCACCGGCGCCGCCGCACGTCGACAGCCCATCGCGGACGAAGGCGGCGTTGCCCGGGGTGGTGAAGAAGGTGACGGCGGCGAGGCGCTGGTGACGGAGGTAGTTGACAAGCTGTATGAGCGGGATGGTGTGGCCCTTCGCCATGAACGGAAAGATAGCGAGGTGAGGGAGGTGGCCATGGCTTGCTGATGTGGTGAGAGTAGCAGAAGCCATGGTCTCAGAAGTGGAGTGAGTGAGTTGCAGAGAGCTTTTCTCGGTGTAATAGACTACTTCGTATGGATTAATGGATACCACTACGGCGGCATGTGATGAGTTATTACATGTTAATAGTAGTTACGGAGTATTAGGCTATCCCAACCCTCAATATCATCTAGTGTCCATAGTATTTAATACATTGTTATATAAGAAAAAAAATATGATGTGGCAAGAGAGTTAATGAGAAGAGAGGTAAAAAAATGAAGAAACCATTTCTCATGCAAGAAACCATATCTACACAAGAACCAAGAATGAAAATAAGATGATAAGTGGATAAAATAGGAGAGAATATAGATGATTGGATAAAAATTTAATTTGAAGACACCATCCATTGAATAGATAGTTTCTATGTATAGTGTCTATATAACATAACAAGTATCGAAACTACTAGATGGGTTTCTAGGTTGGAGATGGCCTTACAGTGACTACATACGCTGATGCGCAAAATACAAGAGCAACAGCAAATGGATCTGGACGGTTTCATTTGTTTCCCTATAAATCAATGACGGTCAGTCAGATTGGATTAATCATTGACGACACCGACAATTCTTACGGAGTTTGGTGGTTGTTGGATTCGTAGGAACTAGTCGTTACAAGTAAGCTCGTGTTTTGCATGGGCTATGGCTATTATTTTTTGTTGAAAGCAATATGTCTGGAGTTTGGACGTGACTATGACGAGAGATCGTACACTGGATTGCCACAACCAGCGATCTCAATCTCATATCAAGTTGTTACTAGTACACCCAAAAATGTATGTATTTTTTTCTTCTTATAGAATTTTCTCTTAAATTACTAATCCAAATTATGATCGGATTATACCATTGGGTTTATAACAATTAAATCTTTATAACAAGATCTCATATCTCATATGTTTATATTTTTTAGAAAAATACAAATTACTTTTTTTAAAAAATCTAAATTACTTTTAGATTCCATTAAATTACTTCTTAGTCTTAAAAGTAAATTTAATAAAGCGTGAAAGTAATTTACATATATTGTAGAGGTAGCTTAAAACAAAAGTAAAATAAATTATTACGACATTAAAAGTAAATATATTGTGGGGGTAAAAACATAAGTCTATCAGAAATAATGAGGCAGTTCTTAGGTGGTGTTTGGATCCAGGGATTTAACTTTAGTCTCTGTATTTAGACACTAATTTAGAGTATTAAATATAGACTACTTATAAAACTAATTACATAAATGAAAGCTAATTTGCGAGACAAATTTTTTAAGCCTAATTAATCTATAATTAGAGAATGTTTACTGTAGCATCACACAGGCTAATTATGGATTAATTAGGCTCAATAGATTCGTCTCGCGAATTAGTCCAAGATTATGGATGTGTTTTATTAATAGTCTACGTTTAATATTTATAATTAGTGTTCAAACATCCGATGTGATAGGGACTTAAAAGTTTTAGTTCCATCTAAACAGGGTCTTAGCCTTCGACTTGCCGTTCGCGGCGGTGGCCTCCCTTCTTCTTCTTCTTGGATAACCTATTGGTTCAGGTTTAAACACAAGTTATAAATGCAAATATCTCAGAGGTATAATAACCCTTGTGAAATGCAAATATCTTGAAGTTCTGTGAGAGTTTGCTTACGGCTAAATCCAGAAGCGCGCGGTTGGTGCTATAATAAACCTTTATTTTCCAGAACACAGACGAGTTAAGGTTTTTCTTTGCTGATATGTTCACTGTAAAATGACTAAATAAATTTGTCACTGTAAAATGTGCTCATTTGGTGTAGAGTAAATATATGAGTGATAAATGAGAAACGGTTTGCATGTCCAGCTTACTGTTCTTGTTAAACTTGTGATATCTATTTTTTTCCTTGATAATTTTACCATATCATCCTTACAATCATTGGTAAACAGTCTCAAGAGATAGGAATAGGATTGTTCTGCTATCCAGCGAAGTTCCGATTCCCAAGTTTAATTTGGTCCTCGGCTGAAGAAAAAAAACACGCTACCAGTTCCTCTGAAAATAAATTAGGATGCAAGGAAGTTTTATTTCTGATGTTTTCATGTACTCCCTCCATTTGAAAATATGGGCATGTTTGTTACAGCTCCAACTTCTAAATTTAGCTCCAGGAGTTAAGTCTGGAGTGGAGTTGTGGAGCTGCCTAAACCCAGCTCCACAACTCTAGTACATTTTGTGAGAGAGCTCCACCCAACTCCACTCCTAGTTTTGGTGGAGCTGAAACTGTTTGGTTGAGCTTCAGCTCTAGGGGTGTAGCTAGAGTTGGAGCTGAAACTGTTTGGCTGAGCTCTAGCTCTAGGAGTGTAGCTAGAGTTGGAGCTGTGCCAAACCCTTTAACTCTTATTTTGGTGGGCAATACTAAAAAGATGAGTTAAAATGATCAGGTCACCCATACTTAAATACCTTAGAAATAGGAGAGTGGATGGCAGTGAGAATGTGAGATATTTCCTAACAATGCAAGAACGACTATGTGATAAAAGGCTCAATCAGTTTACATGAAAGCCTTATGTTTTTCAACAACATAAAAAACTATAGGCCTTATAAAAGGAAATAGAGGGAGTACATCTTTGGACTTAAAATTTTCTAGCACCTAAGAGATTCTAATAGTTTAAATTGTTTAGTTAGCTGTTTGGGGTTCTCAAAGTAAGCATGATGCTCAGAATGCACTAGTGTCCTAAATTTTCCATTGCTTCCATTTATATCGAGCGAAAATTGCATCTGACAAATCTTCACTTTTAGCTTCATTGCAGTTTCCTAATGATATGCAGATTAGTCGGTTGCTAAATTAAGTTGTTAAATGTTAATGCATATAATCATTTTTTTTGCTGCTGGTCCGAAGTGACACGTCATTCTTTTGCTGCCAGAGCTTCTCGTGTGGGATTCTCCATCCGGTTTCTCCGGTTCCTGTCTACGCACAGGTTGTTTTTTTTTTCTCTCCTTGCGTGTTCACTTGATCTGCCTGCTGGTTGGCAAGCGTGCTGTGTGTGGTGACGTCTATTTTCATTTCTTTTTTTTCTCCTTCAGTACGTTTACAACACACGTCAATGGTACAGTTCTCCTCTTGTTTCTTTTGGTTGCTACACGCGTCAATGCATGGTATAGTTTTCCTCTTTTTTCTATTGGTTGCATGCTGCCGGATGTAATGATGCATGTATTCTTGTCTCCAAGCGTGTCAGCTTCCTGCATGGTTCTCTTCTCTTTTTCTGTTTGTTTCTTTCTCATGCATGCAATGCTTGCTGACAGCTGTTTCTTTGCATGTCGAACGGCTGCCACTCGGTGATATCGGATTACATACACATCTATTCGGTTTCTAATTTATGGTAGGTCTCTTCTGTCTCCAAGCATACAAGACCTCGCAACAACCATGCAAACGAGAAAGACCTATATCTGTTTAGCCTGCTAAAATCCACCCAACAGGCCCCTTAAGAATGTTCTATATATATGCTTAGGAAACGACCTGTAAATTTTGTCATCATGTTCAGCAATCAAACCATGTAATACGCTGTCCCCGATACTTTACTGAATAAAAATCTAAATCAAGCTCCACTCATGCATCATCGTGCCTAACAAACCTCTTGCGTTAATACATACATTTTTAATAAGCAAATAAATAAAATCTTTATACTTGTCTAAACATATTTGCCAGTTAGAACGCTGCGCGGCGTGCCGCCATGCTTATCTATATCTAGTTAGATTTAATCAACGTATCATAGTTACCTCCACAACAAATTTACTTTTAATGTCGTGACAAGTTACTTTCTTTTTGTTTTAAGGTACTTCTATAATATATGTAAATTACTTTTAGGGTTTATTGAAGATGTAATTTAATGAAATCTTAAAATAATTTGTGTTTTTTTAATTAAAACATAATCATGTGAGATCTTGTTATAAAGATTTAATTGTTACGAACACAATAGTATAATTGGATCGTAGATCAGATGAGTAAGTTAAGAGAAAATTTTACTTGAAGCATAGGTGGCAGGTATATATTTTATATTTAGTTGATAGACAAGTACTATAGATCAACACATACTCGGACAACATCTGATGGCGTCGCTTGTTAGCACTAAAACGAGATGCCTCTCGATTTAGATTTTGCGAATATGTTTTCAAGATGGAGACTCAACGTCGTATATGTCTTTAATTTCCGAGATGTTAATTTAATGCGTACTGGACCCTTTCAAATATATATGGACCCTGTGCAGGAGACTTGAGGAATGAATTTGTTGATTGGATGAATGGCCTTATCATTCACCCGGAAGAAAAATAGATTTTCATGGGAGATTTTAACTTCATAAGGTCTGTACATAACAGAAACTTGCCTGGGGGAGACTTGAATGACATCATGGTTTTCAATGAGATCATCAGCAACATTGGTCTACATGAATTACCTCTAAAGGGCAGAACATATACCTGGAGTAACATGCAGTCTCAACCCCTACTCCAACAGTTGGATTGGTTTTTTTACTTCCCCATCTTGGACAACTATCTACCCAAACACAATGGTCACAGCTCTAAGTAAATGCATCTCTGACCATGCCCCATGTGTGATCTCAATTGAGACCTCAATTCCGAAGGCAAAGATCTTCAGATTTGGAAACTTCTGGGTAGATATCCCAGGTTTTATGGAGACAGTTAAAAACATTTGGGATATCCCTATGAGAGCTGATAACCAAGGAAAAATAATAAATGGAAAGCTCAAGAATCTGAGGAGAGGTTTTAAAATTTGGAGCAGAAGACTGTCAAATTTGAACTCTTTGATTTGTAACTCAAATGATGCAGTTGATATGCTAGATAGAATTGAGGAGGAAAGACCACTTTTCATCCAGGAATGGAACTTTAGAATAGTTAAGAATCATATTCTTAAATTGCTTCATTACAAGAATATCTTTTGGAAGAAAAGATGCACAATTAGATGGGTGAAATTTGGGGATGAGAACAGCAAATTTTTCCATGCTTCTGCTACACAAAGATATCGCCAAAACAAGATCTTTCATTTAACACTTGATGATGGCAGCATTATCACCTCTCATGATGAAAAAGCTCAA